TTTAGTTACAATCAATCATTAAGTAGTTTTCAATTCCTAGGTTGATAAATCATTATTAGCATTTATTTTCCTTTAATGAATCTTTGTAACTCTGATGACAAAACTTTTTTATAAGTTGAATCATTTTTTATCAGAAATAATAAGTTGAGTTTTATTTTTAGAAATATTAAAGTTTATCTCTTTTATCTTAGTGAGAGTGATTCTCCTAAGTTCTTGAGTGATTTAAGAACCCTTGGCTGTATCAAAGGACTTTCACATCCTTTGTGAATTGTCTTCCTTGGAAAGAGTGATTCTTTCCTTCCATCTTATCACTAAATTCCTAAATTTTTTACAAAATTCTAACCTTAAAGATCCTAAATCACCTATTGTGATTCATATTAGTTGGTATTCAGAGCTCCGGTTTAAAGGTTTGAACATCAAATTGATGGCAGAGAAGGATAAAAAGAAAATGAGAGAAAAATTTCTTTAAGAAAAGAGAGAAAAAGAAGAAGAAGAATGAAACAGTTGAAGTGAGGGAGAGCTATTTAGCTATAAAAAGTGAGTATAATGTTTGTTCTACATTTAATTTATCAGACTTATCTTTTTTTTATGTAGATAACGAAGGACAAATCATTTTCAAGAGGGAGAGAATGATGTGAACATGACCTGTGATAAAGGATAGAGCAAGGGAAGCAAATGAAGCTCTTCAACAAGTATTGTTGGTTGACCAAATTGTGTTCTGGATTAATCAATTAATGGAATTTAGTTTGGTTTTATTGCAAGTTGTAATAAGGACCCAATTGAAAATTTAGTTATCGGGAGACCAAGAGGGTATATAATTGATTGACTTTTGGATGCCACAATTTTAGTTACAAGCAATCATTAAGTAATTTTCAATTCCTAGGTTAATAAATCATTATTAACATTTATTTTCCTTTAATGAATCTTTGTAACTCTGATGAGAGTTTTATTTTTAGAAATATTAGAGTTTATCTCTTTTATCTTAATGAGAGTGATTATCCTAAGTTTTTGAGTAATTCAAGAACCCTTGGCTGTATAAAAAGACTTTCACATCCTTTGTGAGTTATCTTCCTTAGAAAGAGTGATTCTTTTCTTCCACCTTATCACTAAATTCCTAAATTTCCTACAAGATTATAACCTTAAACTCCTAGAAGATTATAACCTTAAAGATCCTAAATCACCCCTTATGGTTCATATCACTAGCAATCATGGATAGAACATATAAGAAGAAAAAAATAAATAAATTCCTCTTATAAACTTAAAGTAAGTTAATCTATAAATTGAAAATAACTTTTTTGAATAAGTTAATAAATAATAGAGTTTCACAATAATTCATTTTTTTATAACATTCTTTTTGCACTAGTATTTATAAAGAAAGACAAATGTCAGAAGTTATGATCTGATCATACTACTCAAATTCTTTTACTTCTAGATTCGTCCTGAAGAGTTATATAATTGAACTTATTAAACATAAAACATAATCAATATTTTTTTTAAAAGTAATGTGATTAATTAGTAAATGTTTCTATCTTGAGGTTCGGCTGGTATATATGTTGTATAAGAGTGAATAAAAAGTGTAACCTCAAAGACGTCTCGTGTGTAATTGATCAAAGTTGGCAGAGCCCTGGAACCTATCTGAACATCAGCTCCAATTGTCAAGTTTTTGTATCTCACTTCGACGCTTGGCACTTCCAATCCAACCCTTTTGCATTCAACACACAGATAATGTAAATGCAAAATCATGCGTACAACCTTTCATGCAAGTCTCACTGAAAGTGTTTGAGAACATAACAGACACATGCCTTAAGATTATCAACATGGTTTACTTTCGAAATCTATGTATGTACTTTTTAATCTCAAGTATTTGATCTAATGCAAAAGATGAGAAAGTGTTTTACCTGTTGAAGCGTTCCTTGATGGCAGAAAGAAGCTTGTAGTTGTCTTGTTCGTTGGTGGCCAAAGCATTCTTGACGAGGCGTTCACGGTTGTGCCGATTCAGCTTCCTCACATCAATCTGCTCCAAAGCCTGGCCTGGTTTCTCCCCGGAGTCCCTGACAGAAGATTTCCTCATCAACGCTGTGGTTACACGCTTCTGCGTCGGCAACCTCAACAGCGCGGCCATTTGAAGCTCCTCTTCGTCCTCCTCTACCCATTCTGCATTCGAAGCCTTGGAAAAGGACTCCTTCGCCGTTTCCGGCGCCATGTCGAAGCTAAAACCGGCTATCGCCATCTTTCCGTTTCCTCCACTTCTCTTTTCTTTGTTTCTTTCTCTTTGAGAGAAAGAAAATAAATGGAAAAGAGGAATGAGTTGATGGAAGGAAGTAGCTGAGGAAGAAAGAAGAGTTTTGATGAAAGAATGTGAGTGACAAATATTCGGATTAGGTATTTATACTCAACTCATGTATTACGTTATGCATGGCGAGAGTGAAGGGGACCAAGTCCATGCATGCTACAATTTTTATTACCAAGACAAATGTAGGGTAACATCTTTTCTATTCATTCTTTTGGAAATACTAAATAATGTTTGTAGAAAGTGTAATACAATTTTGTATCAAACATTTTTTCATGTACTTTTTAATTAATCTCTTGTCGTCAAATAAAATTCATACCAGTCATGTTAGAAATCTAGTTGTTATATTGATTAATTAAATTAATTATATCCTTTATTGTCTCTTTAGTAAAGCTTTCATACGATATTTTTTATTTTTTTTACATATAACTTATACATCTTCTTTAACTAATTGAGTAATCATCAAGATACTTGAGACACACAAACTTACAAGAAAATAAAATGGGTATCAATAAAGACAGATGGTGACATACTGTCATGAAAGGAAAACACCTAGGGATGGAAAGTGACGTTAAATTCTGTTTCAACCTTCATCTAAAAATATTCTTATTAAAGAGGTTAAGGAGTTAAAAAGACAATTCTGGAGACTTCTTAAAATGTTTGTCATGGATGAAACCACTGTTAAATCCTTTCAAATTAACAGTATTTGAAACCCTTATAATCCTACTATTATAAGATAAATTTGACATTATAATATTATTATTTTAAATAATTTTGAAGCTAAAATAAATTAAATCTAACATTATCTTTTTTTAATTTATATAAAAATATGCGGTGTATTGTTTCAGATTAACCGCTTAAATTTAAAACTTCTAAAGCTTAATTATTAATTAATAAACTAATGATTGGTTTGGTGGGTAGTTTTGTCTTTTTATATGCTACCATTTTAAGTCCAACTTGCAAAACTTGAGGCGCCCCAACCTGATCTGTTCCAGTATATGATAGAAACCACTTATATAAGTAAAAGATTAATTAAAATATTTCTTTATGGTATGACTAAACAAGAATAGAATGATTTTAAATTTGTTTATATTTAAATTTAATTTTTCATTTATCATTGATTAAAAAATATTTTACGTTTTTTTAAAATCAATCTTTAATATTCCTTATCTCCCTTAAATCCAATGTATCTCTCTTATTTGATTCAATTTTATACAATTTTAATTTATTATTTTAATTAAAAAAAAGTAATTTAACCAAAATTTTATCAAATCAAACAATTCTGATAACTACTTTTTTGGGTAGTATAGTTTTCTTATTTTAGTAAATCTTTTTTACTATAATAACATTTATTATTATCTAAAAGAAATATAAACAAAAAAAAGACAATACATTGTTATATTATAATAAGATATTATTTTTATTATTAAAATATTTGAAAAAAATTACATTTTCATTTAAAAATAAAGACAAAAATAAAAAAATGTTAGAATAATTTCACCGAGAAACAAAAATATGGAAAGAAATCTGTTAAAAAATAGCTCTTAAAAAAATAAAATTGTCCTTATTCAAAATCTTATTTCAATTTAAGATAGATGATGATTAATACTATATATTATCTAGAGAGAGAATATTCTATTTTATTATAGGTTTAAATAACCACCAAACCTTATCCTTTTAAGTAAATGCAAAGATGTTAATTCTGAAACAAAAACTTGTATAAAAAAAAAGTGTGTAGAATTGTTGAAATTTGTGTTGATTTGCACTTATAAAGTTGTTTATAAAATCTTATCCAAACAAGATTCAATGAATGTGGGACCTCTTCAGACAATCCCATTTCACGTATCAAATCTTTATATTAAAGCTCATCAAAAGGGGCCCTCTTTATTTATCTCCTTAGGGTTTCTTTTTCTTTAAAAAAGATATAAAGGGCAAAATCGTCTTGAAATACATTGAAATGTGTAATGTTATCTCCAACATGGAAACCCACTTCTCAATACCATTGGCTAAAGAGTACATAGAATTTTTGTTATCTCCAACATCATTACCCACTTCTCAAGTCTTTAATGTCCACTATAAAACAAGAGTAGTTAGAATAGGAAAAACATTTTTTTTATGCTTTTCAGAAAAGGGTTTAAGTGACTAAATTCTAAAGTAAGGAAATTTCATTAAATGAAACAAGAGTAGTTAAAAAAAAAAAAGTTCTGGAAGAAAATTAGGTGAATTAGTCTTCCAATGTTAACTATCAGCAATCATGTAGACTTTAAGATTAAAAATATATATGTTCATTAACAGATTCTCAGATTTATTTAATTTTCTTTAGAATGAAAATCAATATTATTAACTAAAACATCAGTAATAACAAGGAAAAGGGTAGTTTTTTTTTTTTTAAGTTAGATTTTGAGTACTACCTAAAATTAAAACATATTAGATAAAAGTATAAACGCGAAAAGAAGTAATTACTAATAAATTTCTCAAAAACATATATTCTTATAAAATATTAATTTGTTTTTGTACTAACTAAATCCAGCTCAATCTGTCAAAAGAGTCAAATTTATATTGGCACAAATTTTTTACCAAAACCTTTATCGGTTGAAGAAAGGGTAATAGTGTCATTGTGAGAGTGTCATATGCAGATTCTATCATATATCATGGCATTGGCTTTGTGAGATTATTCTTGCTTGCATGCAGAAAATATTATCAGGGGAAAATGTCTATGGGAAAGTGCTCCTTCAAGGACTCTCTTAAAGCTCTGGAAGCTGATATTCAGTATGCTAATACCCTGTATTTCCTCTCTTCCTATTCTCTCTTTCACTCTCTCTTTTGGGGGAAATTGATTGATTGAATGAGAAATTCAGCTTCAAAAGTTTAAATGTGTATTTCTTCATATTCCCAGATTTTTTTTTCTCCCTGCAGAATGTTAATCACTGGAGTTTAGCACCTTTCTGTTTGATTTTTAAGAATTGAGTGTTTTCTCTACCACTTTAGCACTGTGCCTTTTTGTGTAATCTATGTAAATATTGTTTTCATGCTTTGTGGTCAATTTCTGTCCTTTGAAGCTGAATGCTGCAGTGTTTTTCTTGACTTGGTAGAGTGGGACTATGAAGCTAAGATTGTTTTTAAAGTAAAGGTTGATGATCTGCACCTCTGAATTTGTATGAAACTCATTTTCCTTGTTGGAAACTGGAATTAGATAGCACTTTTCAATATTCAACACTTGATTGATATGTTTATACTTGGATCATTCATACGCATTCTTTTAGCAGACTATATAACCCTTTTCTCATCCGAGTCTGCTTGATGTCCTTTTTTTTCCCTCATTGCTCTTCTCTCTTTGTTAGGGCCTTAGACCATCCAAGGGACAAAGATGGAGGATGCTTTCAGATGAGGATATCTTACAGTTCAGCAGCCCCTATTTTTCTATTTCTTGTTCAGTGGACTGATTACCGCTTGGCTGGTGCTCTGGGTTTGCTGAGAGTTCTAATTTATGTGGTATGTATGTCCTAAATGTTGAAGTTACAAGGTTTTGGAGAGAAAAGAGAGAAAAGAAAAAAATACCTTAAATTATGAGTATTTTTTTTTTTTAGTAATCATATTACTAGTACGAAGTATCTATCAACTTGTCACTAAATTTGACTGATTATCTTGTAGAATCTCCTCTCTTGACCACATTTTTTCCATCACAATGACTTTTTTAGTTATAGATATGATTTGTTACAATGATCATGTGCAAAAGATTGAGTCACTAACCCTTATTTATATAAATTATTATGAAAGCAAATCCTAGAAGATATTATAGGATAGAAAACTAATCCTGAAGTATAATCTGATATATCTGATCTTTAGAAGTAATCTAGAATATCCTATGATAAATTTAAGATATTTTCCATGTTTTAACACTAAACATGTTCGAAATACTCAATGCCTTGGTAGAGCATCACAGTATCTCTGTAAATTTTATTTTCTTCTTTTGTTTCCTTCGTAATTTATCATTTTTTGTTCTAAAACTGTCATAATCTGTTGGTAGACTTGATTTCCATCAACATTTATGCAGACTTACGGAAATGGGAAGAATACCATGTCAATATATGAAAGGAAAGCAAGCATTAGACAATTTTACTGTAAGTCATGCTGTAAAGATAATGTATACTTGACTACTCTTATAGCTTTATGCATATTGCTCTTTCAAGGAGCAACTGGCTCCATTTTTATGTTCTTGATTATTAGCATAAAAGTAACAGGTTTTTTCTTCTTTCTTCTTTTTTTTTTCTCTTTTGTTAATAAACAGCTGTTATTTTTCCTGCTCTGTTGCAACTTGAGAAAGGCATCACAGATCTGGACGAAAGGAAACAGAAAGAAGTAGCTTGTAGGTACCAACAGAAGAGTGAATCGACGGAGAGAAAACTATCTGAGATTGACATTGAAAGAGAAGAGGAATGCGGAGTTTGCTTGGAGGTGAAAGCTAAAGTTGTGCTGCCTGATTGCTGCCACTATATGTGTTTGAAGTGCTACAGAGATTGGTAAATTTCTTTTACTTTGATTCTATTACATAATCTCATGATCTCAGCAATATTATATTTTCTCCAGTTATACTTTATATTTTGTTGATCATATTTTTGACATAAAAACCACGGTTTTATCTGCCATATCTCTAGTAGTCTGTTATTCAACATATCACATTAAAAGGAGAGGAATCATAGGATGCAGATATTTCTGTGATCTAAATTTATAATCAACCTTTTCATAAAATCAGGGTCCCCTCCTTTGCTGGGCTAGTTTTGGAACCACTTAGATGATATCAACGAATAATCTTTGGTATCAACATCAATGAGAGCATCTTGTATGTCAAAATACGGTATGATCAGTCCCTTTTGGGTGAGGATCATTAATTCTTCACCAACATTTTTGAGGACAGAATAACTGTTGACTATAAAGTTGAGAATGGTTCTCATAAATTCATTGATTGTTATCAGATTGCTTTTACTGTACTTCATAAAAAGCTATAAATCCTTGATTTCATCAATGGCCATCCTCTTTTTTGCACTTTTCTGATGTTAAAGGAGCACCTACCTCATCCACCAACAAAAAATATTTTACATCTTACACTATTTAGTTGATTGTTATATTCCACCTTGATGGCATTAGAATATCACTGTCATTACTAGTTTTTGTTCTCTAGATATGACTTATGACAATTATACTTGTTGATCTAGGTGTCAGAGGTGTCAGTCTTGCCCCTTTTGCCGGGATAGCCTGAAGAGAATCAACTCTGGGGACCTTTGGATTTACACAGACATGAATGATATTGTTGATGTTGGGACCATTTCCAGAGAGAATTGCAAGAGATTGTTTCTTTACATAGAGAAGTTGCCTTTAATTGTTCCAGATCCCAGATATGTGTTCTATGATCCATTTCTGAGATGAGTTTCTGAGATGTGGTTGCCTAAAGGTTTTTGGAAAAGAGTGTGTTTTTCACTTTACTTTGTACATGCATTTTAGAACATACTAATTTAATTGTACATATTTTAACTGGCTTTGCTTCAAGTTGATGATTTTATTTTTAACCCAATAGTTCCAATATTCTGTTGTCCCCTTCCATAATGATTTGGTTAATCACTCATTATATTATAATAATGTTCCTAGTTTTAGGTATGCCAACTTTTTATTCAACCATAAATTGTGCTTATCACGGTTAGGCCTAATTAGTCAATGAAATAATTTTTTAATCCTTGTTCAATGATATTCATCGTCCATTAAGGATGTTGTTATAAATGACAATTGAGAAGGATGTGAAAGTGACAGAATCATGTCTATCCAATCTGTGGGATCCACCCACTTGACAAGATTCCTTTTTTCATGATATTTTGATGCATGCTGAAGCATACCTCTACCCCGAGTGAACTTGTCCCTCTCTGGATCCTGCTGTGATGTTGTTTTTCCTGTGTTCCCTTGTGAAAAGCCTCATCCAAAATGAATGAACCAAATAAATGTAGTGCCAACCGAATTATAGGTACAAAGTTAATTTGTTTCTACACGTTACAAAATGTTAGTCTTGCTGACAAAGTCAGGAAATAATTGCAGAATGTTCTCATGTGTGTACTTGGAAGAAATTGGAAAAGGATATACTGTTGTGATTAGACACAATGCTAAAGAATATAATAACATTTATATGAAAAATGATATAATAATCTAAAAATATTCCAACCATTAAACAATGCTAGGTCACAATATAACTAAGGAAAAGCTAACAAACAAGTCCCATAAAATCAAACTAAGACAAGCTATGTTGAATAGGCATATAATCTCCATGAAGTCTTAGATAATTATTTTCTTGAGCATATGCATAGCCTCCATGACTAGAAATGTCAAGGCCATTAACTTCCTCGTCATAAGGAATTCTCAATATCTCAAGTTTGTGCAAGGCATAGAATATAGGACCCATTGTTACACTTACCCATCCAAAGATTGTCAAAATCTCAATCACTTGGGCTCCAATCAATCCCCATCCACCTCCAAGTAGGAGACCATAGGGTCTTGTGACACCTATCTCACCACAATTATAGACTTGGATCACAAACTCCTCTTTCGCAAACAACCCAGTAAACAACAAACCCCAAGTGCCACACCCCCCATGCAATTGGGCTGCCTCTAATGGATCATCATAGTTCAGTTTTAGGGCCACAATGTTCAGCCCAATCAAAACCCAAGCCGATACAAACCCACAAAGAATGGCAGCCCATGGCTCAACAACTGAGCATCCGGAGGTGATGGCAACAAACCCACCAAGCAAGCCATTGCACACATCCATTGCATCCCAGTGGCCGACCAGCAACCGCCGGCCGAACAAGGTGACTATCCCAGCAGTCGAACCGGCTAATGTGGTTGTCACGGCGGTCCGACCCACCGAGGTCCAATTACCTTGGTCCGACGTGCCTGGATAGGCCACAAGGATCTTGTCAAACGATCCTGAATTGAACCCGAACCAACCAAACCACAACAAAAAAGTTCCAAGCACAACAAGTGGTGCACTATGGCCTCGCAGAGTCACGGGCCGGCCGAAGGCGTCAAATCGGCCAGCCCGTGGGCCTTCTATGATGGACCCCCAAAGCCCGGCAACTGCACCAACCAAATGCACCACTCCACTCCCAGCAAAGTCAATGGCACCTGAGCCCAACAACAAGTGAGTTGAACTTGGACTAAGCCAACCACTTGATGACCACAGCCAATGAACCACAACTGGGTAGACAAAGCCGCTAAGGAAAAATGAGAAAACAAGATAGGCACTGAATTGGGTTCTCTCAGCTATGGAGCCACTTGTGATGCCTGTTACAGCTATAGCAAAAGCCCATTGGTAAAGGAAGAAAGCATAGTCGTAAGTGGCATTGGGAATGTGGGCTAGAGCAAACAAATCAGTGCCGATGAAAGGGTTGGAAGTGCCATATGCAAATGCAAAACCGAAGAGGTAGAAGGAGATGCTACCAACCACTGCATCAACCACGTTGGTGAGCATTATGTTCATGGCATTTTTGGCACGCACCGAACCTGCACATATCATGGCAAACCCAATTTGCATCACAAAGACAAGGTACGCTGAGAAGAGAAGGTAGATTGCGTTGATGGAATATGCGACACTTTCTTCCCATGAAACCCCCATTAGAGTGAATGTGAAGTGAAACACTAAAAAACATTGGTGTATTAATAAAGATGTGTAAGATATATGTAAACTTTTGAATGGTAGTTAGCTACCTAACTCTTCAAGTTGGTTGAGGTTGTGCAATCTACGTCAACCATTTTAAGGGAGCAGATAGGCTTACCACAACCAGAGACACTGGATAAAAAAATTGAAAAATATATTATTATACCAAAATATATGTTCACATATTTCGAGGGAGATTCATTGCAAGGGAAATTCTCTGTGAGAGACAATACCACCAATGATGAGAGAGATTGACTCAACTCTCAGTCAAAACGTTAAGTTTTTGGGTTATAGTACTTAATTTGAGACTTAAAATATTCAAGTTTAAGATTACTATTACAATATACGTATCACATTAATTACGGTCACCGTCATAAACCAGTAGTTGTTAAGACCAGTAATAGTTTATAGAGGTAAGGTGTCATGCTTTGTTTCAAAACCAATTAATTATTAAGATTTTTTTTTTCCTTATTTGTATACAAATTGTTTTAAAAAGTAGTTTTAAGAGAAATATTTGAAACGAGTATCAGAATCGATAATTAGCTTTGAATTTTCAAAATGAGTTTAATTTTGTTAAGCAACCTAAATAGCACACTCTACAAATGTCAATGTCATAACAAAATTTACAAAATCAATTTTAAAGATTTTTTTTTTATCTGAACCAATTTTAAAGACTGTCTATGGTTTAAAGCTGGTTTTTAAATTATTTAGTGGTAAAATCTGTTTTAATTTATAAATAAATCTGAAACCTGATTCAAGTCAATTTTAAAATAAAAAAACAAATATGTTTAAAATAAAACTCAGACCATTTTTTTGATTGATTGAATTTGAAATTCAAATCACTTTAAATAAGTCAGTGTGGATGTTCTTTAAAACGTGGCGTGATTGACACATAGGTGATGTCTGACTCTGTGAGTAAGTAATGAAAAGATGATATTGGAATAGCGAGTGACCACCATAAGGAAAAGTGAGTAGAAATGATGAATTGAGTGTGTGATGGTGATTATTTTTTCTCTTGATGGTGGTAATCTGGAATTAACTTGGTATTTAAAGCACTCATAAATTATGTTTAAGATTATAACTAGTGCAAATTATTTAAAAATTTAGACCAAGAAGAAGAGTGTTTGGAACTGAATCATTCCCTCTTACATTCTTCTTTTATCTATTATAGATAATGCCAAGTACACATGAACTTGTGAATTCAAAGAATTTTGCTGATAGAGAGAATTAAAGATGTTATTATTATCAATTTCAACTTCTCTCATTATAGTAGCAGATTATATAATGCAGTAGCATACAAAGTTTTGCCCAATGAAAACCTTAGTTTTCTTATATTATATATGGTTTTCTATATACATTTTTTCACTTGGTGGACGACATTTGCAATGGCAGCATCCATTAAAGCAATCCTTTGTGCAACCAAATCGATCACCAGAGCAATTTCTGCAATCATCTGCAGATTGGCACTTGGCACATTGTGCATTCACAATACCTGTCAAAGTTGTTCCCAATGTTGAGAATTTCTAAGGTTTTCGTACACGTGTACTTTTTATATATCACACGAGTATATTTATATGTTTTATATCACATGAGTACGTATAATTTTTTATTTATGTATTATATATATATATATATATATATATATAAAATAAAAATATTATAAAACATTAAATATCCATAATATCTTAATCATAATTATCTAAATTAAAATAATAATATAATATTTTTTTATCTTTTCTCTTAAAAGATAATAAAAAATTTTAATACCTAATTTAAATAAAAGATAATAAAGTAATATTCTCAACATTACTCCTTATTTTAATATTTATTTATTTGAATTTGATATATATTTTTTTTCTTTTATTTTGCTTATAATTTTTTCTCTTTTTTTGTTTATATTTCTTGTCATCTTCTTTCTTGAACGAGATCACATCTTCATTCAACTTTACTTTTTTCATCAAAATATTTTTTCCTTTATCAACTTCATCTCTTTTGTTTCTTTCAAACTTCTTCATGGTAGTATTGTTGACTCTTTGATGGACGTTTGAAACGATTGTTTCATCTACATCTTTATTTTCCTCCTTAACATCAATCTTCTTCATACTTTTTTTTTTTTTACTTTTCTTTTATATCTTCGTTTGTAATCATCTCTTCCACGTGAACTTTGAACATTTTCAAGTTATTTGTATCTTTAATCACACAAAATTTGTGTTTAAAAGATATTTTATAACTTTTCTCCAATAATTGAGTAACACTTAACAAATTATAATTTATATCAGGAACATATAAAACATTAAAAATCAATTTGATACCCAAATGACCTTTAACTGTAATTGTTTATGTGCCTTTCACGTCTATTTGTTCTCCATTACCGATTCTCACTTTAGAAATATGTGATTCATTGAACTCTTTGAAAAATTCTCGATCATGAGTCATGTGGTTTGTACAACCACGGTCTATAAGTCAACTTGTGGATTTGTTGATTGTAGAGCAGGTTAATGCAAGGAGAAGTTCTCCTTCTACTCCATCCTTTGTAACTTGAAGAAGTTCTCATTCTACTTCATCATCTATAATCTTGACGACTTCTTTTTATTGTGATTTGCATATCTTTTTTATATGTCTCAATTGACCACATTTTTTACATTTCACGTCAGGTCTCCACCAACACTTGTTGGATGTGTGATTATTTTTCTTGCAATAAGAACAAACAGAAAAGACTCGTAATTTTGTAACTTTGTTATTCTTGACTTGGAGAGAACCTCCATCATGATATAGTAAAAAACCTTCACCAACAACATGATCTTCTCTCATCAATCTTCGTTGCTCTTGCGCTTGTAAAGCATGTAGCACTTCTCGAATTTTCTCATCCCTTCATATTGATCTTTCAAATAATCCCAAATTTCTTTGGGTGACTTTAGCATCATGATTCTGGTGAGGATCATTTGTAAAACACCAGCAAACATATATGATTTAGTTTTTCCCTTCCTCGTTTTTCTTTTTCTATGAAATTTCATTTCAGCTATGGTGGGATTTTCAGCTAGTGGATCAACAATATAATTTTCTTCTACAGCTTCCCATACATACAATCAATGGCGGATCTTCTTGGAAGCTGAGGGGGGTTGTGCCCCCCCAAAGTTTTGTAACTCCCATGTAATTTATGATTTTGACCCCCCAAACTTAATGAACATTTAATATATTTACAATTTTATTCTCTCAGTCCCTCTTCAGTTTTGTAACTCTCATATAATTTATGATTTTGTCCCCCTCAAATTTAATGATCATTTAATATATTTAAGTATATATTTACAATTTTATCCTTTCATCATTTCATCTTCTTACTTCATTTTATATTTATTTATTATTTATTAATAATATATTATTTGGTCCCTGCAAGATCAATGGTCAAGATCCGCCACTGCATCCAATCCTTCAAGATAGGATTGCATTCTCACAGACTCATAAGTTATAACTTTCGCCATCAAAAACTAGAATAACGACTTGTGAAAAATATCTTTCTCCTTTCATTTGTCGAACCAAAGCTCTTGATACCAATTTGTTGAGAATTTTTAGGATTTTGTACATGTGTATTTCGATATATCATATGAGTATATTTTTATTCATGTACTTTATGTATATATAGAGTAAAAATATTACAAAATATCAATAATATTTTAATCATAATTATCTAAATCAAAATAATAACATAATATCTTTCTATCTTCTCTCTTAAAAAATAATAAAATTTCTTAATCTCTAATTTAAAAAAAATAATAAAATAATATTCTCAACACACTCTTTTCAAAACCTAAATGGGTTAATTATAAACAATGGTGTTTAACAGCAAATACTCATGTCACAAAATTTTGCACATACATGTACCATAATGCAGATAATATAGTGATTTTAAAGTGTAGTTATTTGTATATAAAAATCACAAATAAGAAGAAAAACTGATAGGAGCACCTGATTCAAATGCTATATGCAATAAAATCATCAAGCAAAGAAACAACAGTGAAGCTTTTGCCATTATGTACCTCTGGGTTGTGAGTTATTTTGAGAATCGAAGTTTTTTTTGACAGAACAAAGTTGCGCTTGTATAGATTGTTTATATAATGATAAGTGCATTGATTTTCATAATGACAAAATATTGGTCATATCTGAATTATTTTACTTTTCTGAATTTGACACTTTTAACAAATAAAAATATCTCCTATAAAAACCCCCCCACTCCACTCACTCTACATTAACTTCACATCCCTTCACTATTAATTTTATGTTTTTTTTTTTTCAAGTCCAACTCTATCACCAAACGTTGTTAATAAGTATGTTGTCACCAAATTCGATGATTCTTCCTTGTCATGTTTGATTTGTTTACCTTATTTATTATATGATTATTTGATCATAAAAATTATTAAATGATACTCTAAATAAAAAACAAATTTAAAATAAAAGGATATTAGTAGACAAAAAGTAAAAAGCTAAGTTAATTTCATTATCATTATTTCTTGATCAAACATTTCCAGTTTCACTGAGGCCATAGCAGCTGCAAAGGCAGCATCCATTGATGCAATATTTTTTGCAACCAGGGCGATAGCATTGTAGATTTTTACAATCACTTGCACTCGGGGATTCACACTTGTATTCACATGCATTCACAAAACCTGCAATCAAAACCTTCAAGTTAAAAAAATGGTGTTCCATGAGAAAGATACTGATTTCACAAGATTTTGCATTACATGATAAGAGTCGCACCAGAAAGAAAAACAGAGAGGAATTATACCTGTTTCAAGTGCTATGACAAATAAAACAATCAAGCAAGGAAACAACATTGAAGCTTTTGCCATTTTGGTATGCCTCTGTTGAAACTTTTTCTTTTTTTTTCTAAGAATCAACTTTTTCACTTGCATTTGTCTCTCTGGGATTATTTATATCAATAATTAAGTGCATTAACTTCTCAGCGTTAAAGTTGTGCATTTTCAGGATTAACTGCGATTCTAACGTTAAAGTTGTCTTCCTTTCATAATTAACTTAGTCATCATTAATGGTGCAGTTTAAGAAAAATGTGCCAAGATAAATAATGTAATTTAATAAAAGAAAATTGTCAGGGCAAATGATTTTGATTTGCTTATACAAACACTAAGTAATTACTGTTACTTACAATAATCTTTTTCTGCAATGGTAATTGCGATAGTTGTTAGAATTTGATAAAATATAATACATGAGATTTATCAACTGTAGTTTATCTTTTCTTTTATTAATAAAAAGACACGTAAAATGAAAACATAATACATTTTTATTCAACATTTCATGATGAAAAATAAAATAAAATATTTGATTCCATCTTATGAACATTACTCCAAATGCTACCTTAAGTTTTAGGTATTAAGAATGCAAATGTTTAGACCCACTTCTAATCTTTAATTAATCTAATTTTGAATTAAAAATAATTTGAGCTTTATAATCAAATATAATTTATTATAACAAAATTAGGTTTTCTCCCTTCATACCGGTAACGCTTTGCTTGTATTCTGTTTTGCTTAATTTTTTTCTAATATTTGACCATTTTTATTTTTTTATCTAATATGAAATTATTCATACTTTTTTTTCCTGTTTCAAAAATATTTATGAACATCTAATTCTCACGTACATATATATATATATATATATATATATATATATATATATATATATATATATATATATATATATGACAAATTAAGAAAAAAAAACTAATGGATATATGATATGAGATGCTCACTATCACCACATTTATGCTTTGCCTATTTCTCAGTATGCGTAAATTATTATTTAAAATAAGTTACATCTAAATTTAAATATTGATATTATATTTATTTTTTATATATACTCGTAAGTTTTAAATAATAAACTAAGAATAATATATAAATGACAAAATGATTAACGCCAAAAATTTTAAAACTTAAAACAATAAGACTAATTTATAAATGAAAAAAAATGATTAACGACACAAATTTTAAAACTTAAAACAATAATATCTATTTATTTTAGGACGGAACAATATTAAATATAAATTTTTATATTATAGTATTATACTTTTAGTTTAATATACATTTAATATACTAGTTTATATATAATAATATTTTGTTATTTATATTTTATTTCATCTTTAATTTTTTTTATTAAATATCAATTAATTTAATGATACAAATTATTTAAATATTATATAAATTAAATTAAAATTTGTTTTAGTTAATTTTTTAATTAATATTAATATTTTAAAATATTTTAAAAATAAAAAAAAATACAACATTTAAAACAGTTAAAATTTAACGTAACAACAAAACATAATTATATTATTTTTGTCTATTTATAAAATAATACTTTTAATTTAATAAATAAGTTATGCAAACTCAATGATTCCTCATTGTAGACGTTAAGTTTGACTTATTTACCTTATTTATTAATTATGTAAAAATATTAAATTATATAGTTATATGTTTTTAAACTATTAAATAGTACTTTAATTTAATATACATTATCTCACAAAATTTAATGATGGTTGTACGTTATGTTTGACTTATTTTCATATCATATTCTTATTATTTCAAAAATATTAAATTATATGCTCACATCATTATATATATATATATATATATATATATATTTTGATTGGGTAACAAACTAATTTTTTATGTGTTTGTTATAATACCGTGTATGATGTGTTTTGAAGTTATTGTGTATCATGATATTATTTTAAGTGGGTTGAGGTATTGTTTGATTTGGAATTTTTTTTTATTTGTTTTTAAAAAACGTTTTGGTAAATTAAGAGAATAATGGATTTAAATTATCATTCATCACAACTTTTAAACGATATAAAATTAATGATAAAGCGAAATTCTACACATCTTTATTATCAATCTTATAATGAGTGTCAATCTTTCGTTTAGAAACGAGAGTATATGACATAATATCATAATATAATATTATTTAGAACATATATGATTTTATATTAATTACTAAATAATAACCTTAATTTAATGCGCAAGATGTCACCCATTTATTTCAAATAAAATATATGATTTTATATTATTAAATCTACCACGTTAGGGAGAAGAGTTAACAAGTAAATTGTAAAGCTAAGTAAGATAGAATACCATCTGAAATGAGAAAATTGGAATGTAATTAAGTGATGAAGAATCCACCATGTTTTTTTACTTCATCTTCTCTTATTATTACAAACAAATTGCACAAGAAAGACATGAAATTGTTACATCTTTATTTGAACAATGAAAACTTTATTTCCTTATATATATTTTTTTTTATCGAACATTTCCAGTGACTCCATGGCAATCACAAAGGCAGCAAAAGTTGACGCATCGCTTAACACAACCAGGGATTTCACAGTGCAGATTACCACAACCATTTGGGGAATGGCACTCGTAGTAACATGCATTCACAAAACCTGCAAAATTTGTTCATTCTCATCAAATAGTTAATCAAAAGAAAAATGGTGTTTAATGATGACATAGTTGTGTATAAGAGACGCAAGAAAGAAAACAGAGGAATATACCTGTCGCAAATATTATGAGAAATAAAGCTATCAAGCATGGAAACAACACTGAAGCTTTTGCCATTTCTGTGTCTCTTTGTGAAAGGAACTCTTACTATCAAATTTTCCAATTCAATGTTGTGTCGGAGGGTTATTTATAATAATATTGGGATTATATAGTTTGAAAAAAATCAGGTATATTATATAATCTACGTTATACGTTTATAACAACAATAAATAAGATTAAGTTTAAAAAATAAATAAATAACATTTCTAAATAAAAATATCTTATAATTAATATAATAATATTAATATTATTAATATAATATTTTTAATATATATATATATATATATATATATATATATTAAACACAAACAATTACTACAAACTAATATATGATTTTTTTTATTTTACTTTGCAGAAATAAATATATATAATTTCAAATGATTTTATAATGCTTAAATAAATCATTATATAAAATATTAGTTAAAGGAGTCTCAGTTCAAAAAAATTTAAAAATTGTTGTAACCAAATTACATTAATATAAAAAAAATTTCACATTCCAATTATAATAATCAATTTTTTATTCTTAAATTATTATTGAAAATAATTTAATCAATAAATATGTCTTATTGTAAAGATATTTGTGGGTCTTACTGATAATAATATTATTTTATTATGATCTTTACATATATGAATTTTAAAATAAAATAAAAATGTTTATGTAAGTGTTTTTCAATTTTAAACAAGTTTCTTTAATTTTAACTAATTTTTACATGATATATAACAAAAAATAAAAAAGTTTATATCTAAACCATTTTTTTTTAACAATTTCTTATTAAATATGAAATAAAAAATTATTTATATAATTTATTCGGTCATGTATGTAAAATTGTTTTCAGCAATTAGAATTTTAGTACGGTTTCAAAATTTTAGGATTAATTAAAAATATCTATAAAATCAAATGACTTGAATAATAATAGTAATAATATTTAATATTTAATGATACCAATTCTAATTTAAAGATTTTTCTCGGTAACTGGGGCGAAATTTATATTTTGATAGGTCAATAAACACAATTCACTTACATATAAAATAAGCCAACACCTCATTAATATTTCACGGTAAAAACTAAGAACATAAAAATCATTAACAATTAATACAACTAAAAGTGAAAAAAAAATACATTTTCTTTTTTATATAAAAGATATAAGTGTGGTTAATCATAAAAAGAATACGATATCATCTTTAATAAAAAATTATTAAAATATTAAATATATAAGTTGATTGAATAAATCACGTAACAATAATTTGTAATAGCAAAGGAAGACAACATATGAATTTTAGAACAACCTAAAACACAAAAAAGCAAAAATAAAATCTCAAATAAGGATATGCAAATATTGTTGATGAATAACCAACAACTATGATATCATTTAATATTCTGGTATGAAATTTTTACATATTCATTCATTTGAAACATGATATCGAAAATTTATTCTATAATTATCCTGAGTTCTTGATCAAACTTTATTAGAACCCTAATGTTTCATTAAAAAAGAGTGGCTCTTCACGAGTGTATGATTTCATTTTTTAGTGTAGAAAATTGTAATAAGAGACATAAAACAAAGAGGAATAGCTGTTCCAAATGTTATGAAAAATAAAACTATCAAGCAAGGAAGCAATACTCAAGCTTTTGCCATTTCTGTATCTCTTTTTGTTCAAGTCATTTCTGGAATGAAGTTTTCCTTGCAAAGTTGTCTTCCTTCATTAGGATTATTTATAATAGAGTAATAATAATAGTAAAAAAAAGAATATTAATTTCATCATGTGACAATATACTTAAAGTTGTATACATTGAGATTATATTATAAAAATAATTAACTGCATTAATTTTTATTAATTGTAACAACTATAGTACTCAATTCAAGACTTTGTTTAATAATCCAAAATCGGTTTCACTTAAATTAATGACAAATATCACTGTGTACGAAAATATCACAAGCCAATAGTTTCACAAAATTAATAGTTAAAATTGGATATTAGTACTAAATTAAGGACTAATAGTTAATATTTAGGATGAATTGTTTGAATTTTTTTGTTATGAGATAGTTTTGAAAGGGAACAAAATTACATACATGTATTTATTTCTGTGAAACATTAAAAAAAAAATTCCTTTTTCAAAATTATATTTGTGGTCCTCCTAATACAATGTATGGACAATTTTGTTGTCTATATTTTCTAAGTGTACAACTTTGATTTTCATATTTTACAAATTGTGAAAGTTTTCTTCATCAATTATTACGATACAATCAATATTGAATGAAAGTAGCTGACAGGATGGGAATTTGTAGTTGGAGAACTGTAACATTTGTATTTTTCTAATTTTTTACAATTGTGGCCCACATTTTAATTAACGAGGTCCCATACTAACTTCATATTCATTTTTTTGAAAACTCTATTTATCATAAAAATATATATCTTCATTATAATTATAATTAATTTTATAAATAATATATTTTAAAAAAGTTATGAATATTTATTCAATTCATTTATCTATCTAAATAAACCAATTTATTATTCATATATAATTTTTTTCTTTTCATAATTTTTTTTTTAATTTATCTCTCCCGATATTCATTAATTATTTTTCTCTCATATATCTGATGTCTTTTTTTCCTCCAATCTCATTTATTTTTCTACTTAAAATTATTATTGGAATTTAGCAAATTTGTATTAATATAATTTTTTTAAAATCAATATTAAAACTATAAAAATAATAATTATTTATTTAAAATTACGTAATAATTATTTTATTATAATAAATTTATTCATTTAACTAAAAAATATTAAATAAATATATTTTTATTTAATAATTTAATCTAGTTATAATTAAACTAAATTATAATAAATAGTCATAATAAGTAATTAAAAATTATTTATTAAAAATTATTTTAAAATAAATATTTTTTTTTATATTTATAACATAATAATTTATAATATAATATCTTTTAAATATAATATATTAAATTATAGTATTTTTAAATAATTTAAATATTATTACTTTTTAGAAATAATAAAAGATTCATCTTATTAAAATTTACTTTAATATTTTTAATTAAAAAAATAAGATGAGTATCATAAAAACAAAGGAAGAAACGAAAAAAAAAAAGAGAAGTATAAAAAGAGTATTTGTATTATATAAAAAAAAATATTTTTATTATTAAATTTTGTATACAAATAATAAAAAACTAAATTAAATAAATAAATTTATAAAAAAATTATTTGAAATTTTTTTATTTAAATATATCATTTATGAGATGCATTCTTATAATTAAATTTTAAAAATTAAATATATATTTAATCTGATCACATTTATTGTTTTTTTTTTTAATTTTTAAATTTGTAATTAATAATTATTATTGTACTTTACATTCCAGAATATAAATACTTCAAAAGAGTTAAATGGACAGAAAAAGACTAATAGAAAGAGTATTAGTGCTAACACCCTTCTTTTTAAGAACTACGTCTAAAAATAGTTTTCAAGAAATAAGACTATTCCTGGTAAAAGTCTTTTCAATTAAGAACAATAAACCACTTCAGTGGTGATCAATAACCAACTGTTCATGATGAACATAAACAATCAATCATCTGGTTAATTGTTCTTAAACTGAAAATACTTCTACTAAGAATTATAATGTGTTTTTTCTTGTACATTATAAATATGCAAAATATATACCATATTTACAGTGGTGTGTGAAAGAATCAGTATGATTCTACGTGTTTTTTGTTATATCCCACGGGAACTCTGCTTGTGAGGGAGGGCCTCATTGTGACAATTGTTGATTCATTAGCCCCAGCTTTAAGAGCAGTTTTTGCAGCTTCCAGGAACCTCTTCACTGCATCTTCTGCATACCTGTTTGCTTCTTTCACTGTCATAGTTTTACCAATGTTTGGGTAAGAGTTTAGCACATAATCACCATTGAGCTGAGATGCAAGCTGGATCAGTTCCATCTGGAATTCTGAAAGACTTGAGTCTTCCCTGGGTCCATGATCCCTCAGTTTTGTGATCTCCGGAAGGGTTTCTATAAAAATAACCATAATGGAAATAATGTTAGGAACATAATGCATGAAATAGATAAATCACTTGCATCGATCAATTCTAAATGGAAAATGACAGATACTATATTTTGGATGCACACAGTTGGTGTTTCAAGATACTTCCAAATCTGGTTTGGATAAAGACAAAAGTGGCAACTTACTAGTTTTTTCTTATTGCAGTTACCATGAGAGACATAGGAAATTTCCAAGACTGCATTCAAACATGGCTTGCCTAGCACTATACTAGGTTTTACTACCCTGAGCTTGTCAAAAGGGAAAATGCATACCAGTGTTGTAAAGTTTTTATACGTTAATTTGAATTTAATCAGATGCTTGGGCTAAATGAATTCAAGAAATCATATAGTAGTTAGTTCAAAAGGCATGGATTCTGCAACCATAACAGAGAAGATGCAAACCTGGACAATCGTCACGAGGAGTATCTCGAACCTGAAAGTACTTTTCAAAGGTACCAGCCCATGCATCTCTCTTCGTCAAGAAATTGGATTTTAAATTGAAAAGCTTCTTCACTGTGGCGGGAATGGACGAATGCTCATACTGAGAATATGGGGTTGGGCCCTCTGCTTCATGAATCACTGCAAAAATATAAAATTTAAATAAAACCAAGAGACAGATCGGGCTGAAAATTATTACTGAAATAATTAAAAACTTAAAGTTGAGTAATAATGAAAATGGTTGATTCTAGCATAGTGAGAATGAAAATCACAGGGAGAATGAATGGCCATACCAAGTACACAAAACTAAACAACAGAAGCAACCTCAAAAACAACAACATATAGAAAACCAAGAATGATGAATCATCCTTTTTCAAACTACAGTATACACAAAGATGACCAAAACTAGTTTGCAGCACACAAGTACACAGAAGCGAAAAATTCAGCACATCATTTTGAAGGAATACAATTTTTTTTACCCATTATAATAAGTAAAAATACTGATAATGGTACACGCACAATACTCCATCAAGTGCAAAAGTGAGTAGATTCATGAAAAATCATATGTCAAAACTCCAATATCAGTACCCAGCTACATGCCAATTAACAATATTTCAAGACCCAAATGACATCAACATAGGCATGTACAATACAAATCCAACCAAAACAATCAAATAGTAATTAATTAATGTCCTGCAAACACCATCACGAACCAAATAAACCTAAACTTCTTCATGCACGAGTATACTTGAACCAAGCCGAAAGGTACAATACATAACAACTACCACAAACAACCCAAACTGCATCAAAATTCCAAGACCAACAGCAAAAACACTCAGCAGGAAGTCAAAATCCCCCTAGCAACCCAACAACGGCAAAACGCGTTCAAAACCAAAACAGAACTAATCTCGTACCGTCAAATCTAAATCATCTCAATTATCCAATACAACCGCAGAAGCTCAAAACTTGTATAAAAGTTGTCTCCCTGAACACTTGAACAGTAAAAAAATATCTCCCGTCGTTTACATTTTTTTTAAAGTATTTAAAGGTTTGATAGCTTTCAAATTTCAACAAAAAAATTGTTTTAAAAATCAGTTTCGAACAAAAAAAAAACATCTTAAACATAACCCAAATCATCTCAAATCTCAATCAACCAACACATCCTCTGGATAAGACCACTACAGACATCAAAGTTCATTAAAACACCTGATTTAGAAGCAATTTTCAAGTTTGCATAAAAATCATTATAATCCAAAAAAAAAGTTAGGTTTTTCAAGCAAAACCTGAATCATCTGAAATCTAAATTAACCAACAAAACTTAAAAAAGGTTAAAACTTTCGGCCACATACCAGTGCCCTCCTCGATCCAAGGCGAGATAAGAAACGTGGGCACCCTCACCCCCAACCTATCAAACCCAAAGTAATAAGGGGGAGGCCCGATGATTCCATCAGGATTAGGCACACCCTCCACCGGCGTAGCCACATGATCGTAAAACCCTCCATGCTCATCATACGTAATCAACACCGCCATCTCCTTCCACTGAGGACTCTTCCTTAAAACCTCATACACCTCCTTAACAAACATCTGCCCCTCCGCCACGTCATGTGAGGGGTGGTCATCGTTGGCCGGCAAAATCTCCACATCGAAGTACCTCTGCTCCACCACCACATAGTTCGGGAGCTTCCCCTTTTTGGCGTGCTTCTTGAACTTGAGGGCGTAGTCGTGGAAGTTGAACGCGTTCTTGATCTTGCGGAGGCTCTTGAAGAAGAGCGTGGCGGGGATGTTTTGGTAGTAGATGCCGAAGGTTAGGCCGTTCTCGTTAAGGGAGTCGAAGATGGTTTTCTGGGGGAAGCCAAGGACGAGGTCCTTGCGGACGTTGCTCATGGCGCCGTGGGAAGTGGCGGAGTGGACGTAGAATCGGTTTGGTTGGGTCGAGGCCGGAACCGAAGCGAACCACTTGTCGAAAACGGCGAAGTGGGTAGCGAGTTTGGTGTAGACGGGGAGGGTTTCGGGTTTGAAGCCGCTCATGACGGTTTTGGCCATGCCGGGTTGGATTGACTCGGCTTGCTGCGCGAAGCCATTCATAGGGGCCGGAATTAGGGTTGTGTCGTTGGATCCGAAGATTTGCTCGCGGATGGCTTGGAACGAGTGGCCGGGATCGACGTCGATGAAGAGGGCGTCGGCGGAGACGGCGACGGTGGGGGAGTCGGCGTCCTCGACGGAGAGAGGGTTGGATTCGGCGCCGTCGAGGCCGTCGATGTCAGGGTGCTCGGCTTTGAGCCACCCGAGGACGTGGTCGAAGGAGCGATTCTCCATGACGATGACCACCACGGTTTTGATCGGACCGGAGATTTTATGCTTCTTTCCGACGCCGACGGAAACAAGGAGAAAGAGAATGAAGAGGGATACGGAACCTCGCCGGAGATCCATCTCCGGTGAGCGGAATTAGAAAACAGTGAAGAAAAAGTTTTAATTGGTAGTTAAAGTTGCTTGGTTGAGAGCATAAAGGAGGTGCAGTTAAGTTACTTAATTGAGAGGCGAGTGAGGGGTAATAATGGAAAAGACGACACTGGATATGCTTTCAAATTAAGGATCTGTTGTTCTTCTCTTTGTCTTTTACTTTTTCTACGAAACACCCAAAGTTATGGAGCCATATCCTCTCTTTCTAGATTTTCCTATACTATTTGCCCTTTTCTAATTGGACAGCATCTTCTACACGTTTTTTTATCCAATTTCACTAATAAGAAAATTAGTCACCGCCGGTCCTTATTTCTGGTGAACAATAATTTGATGATATGCGATATTGTTGAAGTGACTTCAATTAATTCACGGACCTAACATTGAGATATTTTAAGGATTAATTCGTCACAATTTTTTTTTTCTTTTAAGAAATTAATACATTGATAACACCCTCAAAAGATTAATGGGATGATTTCAATCTTTGGAGAGGCTACTTTAGTGAACACAGTTTATGAGCATTTAATGGCAACATTTGTCACTTTAAATAATCAAAATCGAGGGCTTTCTTTTATTCATATGTAGGTATAAATATCATGAGAGAGGTGCTGTTTAGACTTATATATAAATACGGACAAATCTTATTTTAACAATACATGAATATTTTTTACAAAACCATGAAAAAAAAGTATCAAATCTAAATTTAGAACATTTATCCCAACCGAATCAGTGGTAAGAGAACAATATAAATTTGCTCCAAAACCATCTTCATAAAATTTGTGTCTTTTTTTTCTCATTTATTACTAAAATATAGTATACAATAAACAGTATAATTCAATTTTTTTATAATATTAGTAGTGAAAATTACGGATAGTGTATCAGAGGAATATTCCAAAAGTATTATAAAATACTCGTTTAAACTACCAATTGGAAATTACAAACGAGTAATTTTTTATTAAATATTCATTATGATTTAATAGTTTTTAAATAACATATAAAAAATGTGGTTGATAATAATATATTTATTTATTTGTTTTTGAAGAAGTCAAATTTGAATTTGGTAGTTGCGTCTGTTAGAAAAACTGTAGATGACATTGAATATGTAGTAAAATACAATTTGAGTATATTTCATAATCAAATGGCATATTCCTTCCTTTGATTTTAATGGGGGAGGAGTCACTGCATCATGAAAGTCAAACATAACAAATCAAACCATTATATATATAAATGTAATCTTATCTTATTCCATACAAAACAAAAATAAAAATCTTTCAATTTAGATGCATGGTAGGTGGTAGGAGTTAGAAGATATACTGTTGTAACGTCAATAAATTTTTAAAAAATTGTCAATTTAAAAAATTATATTTTTAAAGATGGAGATAAATTTTGCATGTAATACAGAATAATAATAAAAATAATGTTGGTTATATTGTGGGCAGCTTTGGGACAGTGGCACAGTAAAATGATGAGTGAAATATTAAATTAAGGGTAGGTTTCAAATTGGTTTGTCACTGCCTTCACTTTTCATGTGTTTCTCCTTTCATTTAAGAATTGTCATATAGGTTCATCTGGAACATATCTTAGACAAAATTTATGAAAGAAAATTTATAAACTTTTCTATTTCCTTTCATCATGGTTTAAAGTATAATATAATTGTTAAACTTAATTTATTATGAATCACTTAAGAAAATTTAAGATTTTAATTTTATTATATAACTGAAATTTATTATTAAAACTCTATTCATCCCTTATTGAATAATCACTAATCTCACAAGTATTTAATTCTATTATAAAACATTAGTTATTTATTATCAAAATATAATAAACAATTTATAAATTCACGTTATAATTTAATGAAAGAAAATATTTTCTTTAAAGTCTCAATATCTTTAAATTCACAAGGATTTAAAGTCTCAATATCTTTATTTTGAGACAGATAAATTATATACCATCCAAATCTTATTGATTCATATCCTGGTCTAAGGATTCGAAACAAGGGTGTATTGAATGATGTTGTATTAGTAAAAGTTAATTGACAGTGTATCTTCTTTAAAAAATTAAATACTGAACTACCTTTTTAAGATGTGACGTCGGGCGGGTTATGTTTTTAACCGTCAGTCCGTTTTGTCCGTCTTATCAAGCCGGTTTAACCTAGATTAACACGCGTTTCTCCCATTAATAAAAAAATAATTTTTTATTATAATAAAATTAATCATAAAAATAATATATAAAAATAAAAATTAAAAAAAATAAATTAAAAAAATTTTATTCTCACACAAAATATTTTTTTATTGAAACATAATCTTTTCTTTTTTATTCTTTTTATTCATCTTAAATACTAATTATTTTTATTTTTATAATTTAAATTAAAAATATAATAATTACTTAAACAAAAATAATGTAAATTTTATTAAATAAAAAAATATAAATATTTAAAATTTTTAATATAAAAATTATAAAATTTATAAATTTTAATGTTATATATATATTTATTATTATTTATTATTATATAAATTTTATTATTGTTCTAAATTATAATTTTTTAAAATAATATATTAATTTATATTATTAAATTGAAATAATATATATATATATATATATATATTAAATTATTAATAAATAAATAATAATTTATTATTAAATTTATTAAAAATTTTGATTTTAAAAAATAAAATTTTGTTTTTTCAATTATGGTTGGTCAGTCCGCGTACCACCTCTTAACAGGCCAGTCAATATAGGAAGTCATTTTTTATTTTTTATTGACCACAAACGGAACGGGCAAAACGGGATCTTCAAGCCATCCCTACTACTTTTACAATAAAAAGTTACATCATAATTTTTATTATTTGATTTTTTTTTTTAAAAGTGGTATTTAAACATATATTAGAGCTTGTTCTCTATATATCTTCCATGGTACAATCAACATTACATAAATTCTTAAGAGAATTAAAAATATACAAAATATTAAAAATAGATATTTTATTTATAAATTAATTAAAAAAACATGTTTTTACTGGGGAGAGGTATTGTTTAGACTTATGTGTTACAAATTATATTTATAGAATAATTTATGATTTTTTTTAAATTGTGAGAAAAATAAAAAATTTAAATTTAAAATATTAATGACTATGGGATAATTGTTATCCATAGGATTTTAAAATAGATTTAATTCAACGTATAAATAAAAAATAGATTAAACTAAGATAAAAATTTATAATCTGAATTAAATTAGATTAGTTTTCACCTGATTTATTTATACAACTATCTAAATAGATTATAGATTTATGAATAGGCCTATTTTTAAATTAATATTATTTTTTAAATCAAAATAATATTATTTTATTAATATATATATATATATATATATATTATAAATTAATATAATAAAGCATTTATTTATTTTATAAGAGTAAATCTCAATTTTTTTCTTTAATACTAAACTAACGTTTTCATAATTTTAATTATGAAAAACAATGAAAATTTGAACAAAATTGATCAATGTGTGCATATAGTATGAAACTAAAAGATGGTGATTTTGTATTAGTAAAACTTTTAGCCCATAGATAACATTTAGTTATTGGAATAAATTGTGAATGTATCATTGAATATAAGAAATACCTTAATTTAAAAAAAAGTTAACACATATTTTATATATATTTATGATTTTATTTTATACTCAACGTATTTTTTTATGTTTTATTTTTGTTTTAAATTTATTTTCATTATATAATAATAAATTGGGTTCAGTATACTTATTTTAATTTGGCATTTTTAGTTAATATAACTTTGCTATTATTTCAACCATGTAGATATTATTTTGTACTAGCTCAAATTACTTTTAATTCTACATTTCAATAACTTTAATATATATATATATATATATATATATATATATATATATATATTTTGTTAGATTTAGAATTATGTGTTATTTTTTACCATCTTTAGTAAAAATTTTACAAAGAACTCATACAAATTTGATTTTTCTTTAACTTTTATAATTAGATTTATAAATCTAATTAAAGTCTCAATTTATATTCATATTATTAAATATATTTGATTGTCTTTAAATATATTAAATATAGTCTAAATTTATATGCACAAATAAATTGTTTAGTTTAAGAAGTGTTTATACACGATTTTTCTTCTCTCAATTTGGTGACTTATCTTCTTTTTTTTGTTTTAGTTGTTTTTGTGTTATTCATCTAAGAAAAATTAAATCAAATTGAGTTTTACACCCCTTTTATTTCTCACCCCAAATTTGTTTTTCTCTTTTTAAATTTTTGATTTATATTTTGTGATATCAATTTATAATTTTATTTTTAAAAAATAAATTAGAAATTCATTAAATCTTGACTTGATAATTAAATTTAAATTAATTTGAATGTTATTAAAATTTAATTTAAATAATTTGTTATATAATTTATTTAATTGATTAATTATATTAATTATTCAAACTTTGATTAAAATCTTTAAAAAACTGTATAAAATGATTGTTTTGTTAAGAAACCGTGTTGCCTTTTATAATTTCCAAAACCTAAATACCAAAATCAAACTTGTAAAAAAGAAAACTAAAGGTAAAATATATTTTAGTACTGTCTTTGATAAGAAAAATTTAAGTTGACCTTTATATTACAGAACCTTTAAAACATACTTAAAACTTTGATTTCATGTACGATTGAAAATCACCGTTCCAATTATCCCCAATTAAATCGGTAAGGTAAACCAAAAAAACAGCTTATTCACGTGAAGAATCATATACTGAAAACATTACTAACAAGATTAGAAATGATAGATGGAAGAAGACTGCACAAAATCTTGCATCAAGACATTATTGGAAATACAAAGGTTCAGTTTCCCAACATGAGAACATCTCACATGGATGACTTTATTGCCTCGTTCTCAACTCACTTGGCACTAGCTAACTGGTCGCGAATAAGTTTGGCAGCAGCAACCATATTGGTAAGAGCAGGTTTGACCTCAGTGTACTTGCGTGTCTTAAGGCCACAATCTGGGTTGACCCAGAGAATGTTGCTTTCAAGAACTGCAAGCATCTTGTTGATCCTGTCAGCAATTTCATCGGTGGGTGGAATCCTGGGTGAGTGAATATCATAAACGCCTGGACCAATGCCAGCACCATATTTCACTCCCTCGCGGAAGACTGAAAGTAACTTCTCATCTGATCTGGAGTTCTCAATGGTGATCACATCAGCGTCCATGTCTACGATTGAGTGAATGATGTCATTGAAGTTGGAGTAGCACATATGAGTGTGAATCTAACAAATATCACAATATATTAATATATAAGATTAAATAAACATTAAGATTAGAACATGAAAAATGAAGCTGAAGCTGAACCTGAGTGGTGTCTTTCACACCACAATTGGTAATCCTAAATGAGTGAACTGCCCAGTTTAGATAGAAAGCCTCCTCAGACTTCCTAAGAGGTAAACCTTCTCTTAGAGCAGCCTCATCAATCTGGATGACAGTAATACCAGCTTTCTCAAGATCCTCAACCTCATCCTTGATAGCCAAAGCTATCTGGTAGCATGTTTCAAATCTAATAACAAATAGATAAACTTAAATAAGACAGATATCCAGAAAAACTATCACTCAAACCTGCATTGTAGCAATAAAGGTTGGTTTCATACCTTGGCTGGTCATCTCTAACAAAGGACCAGTTCAGAATAGTAACAGGGCCAGTAAGCATTCCTTTCATAGGTCGTTTGGTCAAACTTTGAGCAGTTGAAGACCAGAAGACAGTCATGGGCTTGGGACGGCTCACATCACCATAAATGATGGGAGGTTTGACACATCGGGATCCATATGATTGCACCCACCCATTGGCAGTAAAAGCAAAGCCAGACAATTGCTCTCCAAAGTACTCAACCATGTCATTCCTCTGAATTGACAATATTTTTCAACCATTAAGTTTTAAAGCATATTTTACTTGAGAAAGAAGTCTTTCTTAAACTACTAATACTAACAAATATCATCTCCATACCTCAGGCTCTCCATGCACCAAGACACTAATGTCAAGTTCTTCCTGGAGCTTCACAACATTGTTAATTTCCTCCTTAATGAAACGGATATATTCTTCCTCAGAGATCCTATTCACATAGCAATCATATAGCAGTTTAAATGTCAAACTGTAATAATAGTTGGATTTGGCAGGTGACTGACGATGAACACTTTATACTCACTTGTTAGCCTTGAATTCACGGCGAACTCTTCTAAGATCTGCAGTCTGAGGGAAAGATCCAATTGTAGTGGTTGGAAGAATAGGAAGATTCAGTTTCTTCTGTTGAGCATCCAACCTGGCACTAACATTTGTGACCCTGCGATGATCGGAGCCCTTTAGAGCTGCAGCCTAAGAAAATAAAACAAACAGTATTAAGAAGTCTTCTAAAATAAAATTTATCAAGTAAAATAACCAAATTGAAAATCTGGATGAGTCCTTACGGCCTTTTGGACAGCCTCATTTGTCACCCTTGGGGAGGACTTCCTTGAAGCCAAGGCTGCAGCATTAGCAGAAAAGTAAACCTGCAAAAAGACAGGCAATAAGAAACAAAATGACATCAAGTTTACGAGCTCACACCCCCTGTTCGAGTTAACTCGATTGAAGAATCGCTTTTGGGTGGGCTCGAGATAAACTAGGGTATAATCAAACTCCCGAGCTCAGGACCCAGTTGGCGAGTTCAGCTGCTTTTTTTGTTTGGTTGAAAACGACGCTAATTTGTGTTGTTTTGCTTACTGAAATATGAGAAAGAAGACCATTAGGGTTCTCTTTTATCCTATTTCTAAGTCATTTCTCTTCATTACTGCTCGCGGAAGATGGTGACAGAGCTGCTGCCCTCATCACGACACCTTTCTTGTTTGTCGCTCTCTGTTTTGAAGTTGAAGCAAGCGGCGATCACTTCTTCTCCCAGCAATGTTGTGGTTTGTTTATGTTGAAGCTGCACAATCATTCTATTCTCTCTGCAGTGCACCATTTGGAGCTCATTCTTGTTGAAGATATTTCTCTTTTTTTAGTTATTTGATATATTATCATATTAAGAACTCATGTCTTGTATGAATTTATGATTTATTCGCTGTTACTTTATTATTAAGGTAATATTCTGCATTATTATTATGGAATTAAAATGTTCGATCATTATGTTTTTTATGGGGTACTTCAATAAATTTTTATATGATGTAAACTCTAATGAGTTTACGATTTGAGATTATGGCCTCTCACAAGTTTACATAAACTCTAGATATTAACAACCTTGCTTCAATGCGTATGATGTACCTCATCCTTCTGTCCAGACAATGCCTTGGCCAAGGCATTTACTTCAACAACTTTTTGTGCCGCAAATGCAAGCCAAGATTTTATCTCTTGGTCCAACTTGGTCTCGTTCACAAGATCCACTGCAGTGTGAAGAAGAGAACAGGATGTGGAAACCACAACCTTGTCTGCAGACGTAAAAGATGGTTCAGAGTTAGCTTCTGGTATGCTGAATACATATGTCAATAACAATGTTCATCGACAGCAAGTACCATTCCCAACAATGTCCCCAAGTTCTTGCAAGGTGTTCAGAGATGATGCAAGATTATTGGCCCAAATATTTCTTCCATCAACAACACCAGCAAAAAGAAATTTTCCAGATGGAAATCCTTGCTTGATCAAATCAAGGGTCTTTGTTCCACGAACAATGTCAAACCCATACGCAGTAACAGCCTTCAAAGAGGTGAGTGTTTTGTATGCCTCAGCAGGGACATCAGCAAAGTATGTCTCAATCAGAACATTCAAACCAGATAAACTTGATTCTAGTTCTGTATAGGCATGAGTAAATGCTTGTAACTGGTGGGCATCGAGATCCTTCACAAGGGTAGGTTCATCAAACTGGATCCAAGTAGCACCAGCTGCCTTCAGTTCAGCCACAACCTCCCTACAATATATAACGAGATATGATTGAAGCAACTTCAACATACTGTTCCGGCACGTTTCAGTACACTTTAGGACCATACCTGTAGACAGGAAGGATCTTGTCAATTAGGGAAAGAAGGGAAAATGACTTCTCCACACCCTTTGCTGGTTTTGACAGCAGCAAGTAAGATACAGGTCCCACAAGCACAGGTACAGTATCAATGCCCAACTACATATTAGAAAGACAAAGGTTATAAGCATCAGTGAATAAAATTAATAATTCAAAATAATTTATTTCTCCCTTTCGTATAAACATTCTTTGCAGATCAGAGTCCTTTGTAGTATGTCATATTTCAGGCAGTAAAGAATTTTCTAAGACCAGAGTCTACATAGATTTATACGAATTTTTTAGATCAAATGTAGGATAGTTGTGCTAAAGCTATCTTTGAACTTACATCTTTGGCCTCTTTGTACTCAACCACAGCTTTGTGTGATGCATAGGAGAATTTAACATCTGGACCCAATTCAGGAACAATATAATGGCTGTACCATAAAGGATAATAAGTTTGTTAGAACTAGGACAAATATAAAACCAATTGCCATATTAATTGTATTTAATCAAAATATATCTAAAACTCAAAATTTAGAGGATGTGATTTACTTACTAGTTGGTGTCAAACCACTTGGTCATTTCCATAGCTGGTACGGATGCATTCCCTCTTGCCATTGAGAAGTAAACATCAAACCCAATCTCCCCACCATTCCAATTATATCTAGCAGGAACTGCCCCAAGCATGGCCGTTGTGTCCAATACTTGATCGTAGTATGAGAAGGTGTTGCTTGGAATATACTTTGTTCCAGCTTCAGCCATATGCTGCCAGATGACTGACCTAAGGTCCGCAGAAACCTTCTGCAGCTCCTCGACACTACTCTTTCCATCCCAAAATGATTCCAAGGCAAACTTAAGCTCTCTCTTGGGTCCCATGCGTGGATAACCAATAATATGTGATGCCATTGCTCTGCCATTGCAAAATGCAAATCCATAATTTGAGTATACAGTAACAAACAGAAGAGGAACCATAGAATGTAAAGCACGTGGCCCTCCATTTAGTTTCTATTATTGGTTGAGGTCAGACTACAATGATGTGAAACAAACTATTAATCACATTACACCTCCAGTATATATAAATAACATCTAATCATGGAATCTGAATTTGAAGACCATTCATGATATTGCTTCTTTACACCTCACGACCGATAACATTGTAGCATTTCAATCCAATATTTATTCCTTTATATAAGAATACAATGAGAAAATTCTTTTACCTCCTCGAACTTATATTCATTAAGAAAAATAAATATATACTAGTGATTTGAGCCATTGTCCTTAATCTTTCACTACATATTAACAGATAAACATTTCTATTGTCTTCAATTCAAGTTCTATAAACGTAACGGAACCTATAACCTGGCCCAGTCACACTTCTGCTCCCTCCAACTATTTAAAAGAGCTCTTATTTTTAAATTCAACTCCAACTGTAAGAACATATACAGAGCAACAAAACAGCCACCGCACATCCGCGTTTTAGAAAATACAGACATTAACATGATTTAAATGATGCGAAAAATAAAACACAAAATGAACAAACTAAGATTTGGGGTTGTTAATCCGTTTATTCTATGAAGTGGGAGATACAGACCATTCAACTAAAAGGGTAAGGTAAACAGTGATTAAATAAATTTAAAAAGTCATCAACTTCAATACACTTCAAGACACTACAAACAACAAGTTTCACAAATCAAGCTCGGTACCAACTTAAAAACCACCAAAAAAAAAAAATAGTTGAAAAAGCTAAGCATGAGAAGGGAAGGCAATAACTTGATCATGTAAACATCAAATTCAACCCTTAGAGCGCATCAAAATCAAGTTTGAAGGCAAAGTGATAGCAAACCGCTAAAAGCGCTAAAACCCATTTCTGGGTAAGATCAGAGTCTCAGTTAAATTGAATCACTTATTTCCATGAAGAACCCCGTAAAATAATCATTAGAGATTGAAAGGGGGAAAACTATAAAAAGAACTAACCGAGAAGAAGTGGCACGAACAGAGAAGCGCAGGGAAGAGGATGAGTAAGAGAGAGCGCAGAGTGAGAATGGGAAGAAAGCCACACACTGAACAGAGAGTTTGTACATTTATACTACTCACTTCACTTTGCACACTCTTTCTCTCTCTATATCTCTCTGTCTCTAAAATGGTTTTGAGAAGTAAAAACTATGAAAACAAGTCCCACTGGCTCCACTGAAAAACTTATGCATTAAATATAAGAGAGTTTACCACTTCTTTTCATTTTAGTTTAATTTAATAAATAAATAATTTTTAATAAATATTTAAACATATTTACAATTTTTATTAATAACAACTATTAGGAACATTATGAATGAAAATAAAAATACTTCTTTTTAAATAAAAATTATCCGGTTAAAAAAATAAAAAATAAATTATAGTTTATTAATGAAAATGAATTTTAAGCTTATCAATTTTATTTTTAATAAAATAAAAAATTTGAAAATACAAATTCGAGATATAATCCTTCCGGATAAAGCCACCAAGTTGAACTTCTGAATCAAGATTTGGAATGAATAAATTATTAGTCTCCCAAATTAAAATTAAAAAATTTTAATCTCTCAAAATCTAATAAAATATAATTTTAATTTTTAAACATTAAAATTTTATTTATTATTTTTAAAAATAATTTTTAAAAATTTAAAAATATATGTAATAAATACATTTTTTATTTAGTTTAATTTTAGTTTTTAAAAAATTATTTTTAGACCTAAGTTGGAAAAAAATTATGTTGATAATTCTTTTAAAAATTGGTTTAGACTAAATAAATAAACAATAACATGGATAAAAATTAAAAAAAAATCCTTTTAATAATTTCATAATAATAACAACGTAGTTATGGATAATAATATACATAATTTAATAAAAATAGAAAGCTAAAAGAAAATATATTTTTAATTTTATGTTTTAATTTTAAATATTTAAAATAAAAACTATTTTAAAATCAACTTTTTAAAGAGATAGTTATTAAACAATGTTTTTTATTTTTTAAAAACATACAAATTGTTATTAAAAACAATAAATAAATAAGTTCAATATTAAAATTGTTTTTAAAATTATTTTTATTTTTTATCTTATTAAAACTACTTTAAATATATACATGATGTCAGATATTGATAAGGAACATGAAACTAAAAATATAAAAATTAAAAAAAAATGCAAAGTTGTTTGAAATTATATTAAAAATCATTTAAAATTGTTTTCTTTTAGAAGACATTTTATTTTAAAAATTATATTTTAAAACCAAAATGTTTTTATTTTAATAATATAGTATAGGACTAAATCTTTATAAGAATATGATCGCAATAATCATAAAATTATCATCTTAGAAAATATAATTTATTGTATTATATAATTTAAAAATAATTTTATTTTAATAAAAAAAATCATTTTAACAAAATCGTTTTTTGTTCGCTTATATTCTGTGAAGTAATCAATAAAAATTTTAAGTAATTTATTATATTTTTTAGAATTTTTATAATAAATAATTGTTTAAAATAACTAATGTTTTATTTAAGTTAGAGATGCTTTGAATTGTGTCCAGGTTTAACGTTAGGCTCGGAAGATTGTTGCATATCATATGAAGTTTTTCTTCAAATGCCATGTTAATCAGAACTTCCTCAAAATTATAATCATATTCAGTCAAATTATAAATTCTCACTTTTATGAAATCAAAAGAAATAGATTTTCACTGTTTATTGTTTAAAATAGACTTTACAAAACACCTCAAACTGTTATACAAACGATGCAATGCAACAGATGAACGCAAAACAGAAGACAAAACTAGCGTACCCTTAAATTCAAGCTGTTGGTTTTCCCTTAACTTCGCAATCTCACCCATTTGGGTTACAAACAAATCACACCTTCCAGCCTCAACAATCTAAAATCTTGAGAATTTCAAACTGGAAGAGGAAAAAACCTTGTGAACTAACAGCTTCAAGTAATGAACATGATACAAACAAGAGTTGTAGTGGACATGTGTTCACTATATGAACAATCAATGAACAAACTAACTTGCAATGTGAAATTGGTTATGCAGATACAAACTTGTTGTAGCCTTTACCATTTTCAATACCATATGTCTTATGCCTATTCCTCCTGGTATCTCTTTGAGGGAAATCTGCAGAATGGTGAGAACCATGATGAGGATGAGAAGATGTTTTATCTGTAAAATCTTTGCGGATTGCCCACAGAACCTCTGCACAACTCTTCATGGATGGCCGTGACCGCCTAGCCGGTGCAAGGCATTGGAAAGCTAGCTTGAGAACCTTCTGTACTGCTTTTGTAGAGGCTGGATTTCTCCTGACCCTTGGATCCATGGCAATAACAATTTCTCCTTGTCTCAACATCTGCATTGCCTGCATGGCATACAAACACTATATCAGCCAAGGTTTCATTGAAGTGTACTATGTTCTCCCAATTTCATTACAATGATCATTGTAAAACACAAAGGAGTTGTAAGCGATGCTCTGCATTTTAGAATGATTGAATGGTCAATGACTTCCATGTAGGACTTGAAACTAAATAAGTTAAACTTGTGACTTGAACCTTCTTGAAGAAGATAATTATCAAACATCTATAAATGAAAATATCAGTCCACTGATAGGGTAATGATGGCAATTTCTTGCTATCAATCACTATAAGAAATTTGCTGTGAACAGAGATATGAAATTAAACCTCTTTGGCATCAGATTAGTTTATCTCTATGACCTTTTAATTAACTAACTACACACTTACAAACAAAAGCAACGATGCTTTTAATAGTTCAAAATGATTCATGGGACAGAATAGCTACTTGATACACACATACTTCAAAACGAAAAGAAAAGTAAATATCCATCACAAGTTGTAATCTCTATTTCTTGAATAATCCACTAACCACAATGTGCATGCTTGTATGTCTTCTATATTTGTCTGGGATACAGTTGAACCAATAAAAAATTATTCTAAAACTACGCATGCTCTTATAACTTGGTCTTCTGCACTATATTTGGTAGATTGGACTAACTTACCCATACAATTGTAACTCTCTCACTAGGAGGTCTCTTTGGTTCAACTGGATGTCGTCCTGTCATCATTTCAACAAGCAACACACCAAAGGAATATACATCACTCTTTTCGGATAAATGTCGTGTTCGCATGTAATCAGGATCTATGTAACCAGCTGTTCCTTTGATTTGGGTCGAAATATGGGTTGCAGAAGGGTCTTCTGCACCCAACCGAGCAAAACCAAAGTCTGCTACTTTGGCCTTTAGCTTATCCGTGATTAAGATATTTGATGCTTTGATGTCCCTATGAATAATTGGATGATCTGTCAATCAAACACATACATTGAGGCATTAAGAGCACAAACAAGACTGAAAGAAATTATTACTTTATCATGAATACGTGTATACACAGTGCAACAATTAAGCCATACAAATTTGTTGTAACATATTTCTTATTCTGTAATCTAATTCTAATGACAGATACCTGTGTACATGTGAAGGTAAGTAATTCCATGCGCTATATCTATGGCTATGTCCAGCCGCTCACCAATTTCTAGTCCATTTCCTCTAAGACCTGCATTAACAAGTGACAGTTTATGTGTATGTCAATATAGATCATAGCAGTTAACTTTATGTATGTTTGGAATAAAGTTTGCAAACTTAAGTTTACGTTTTGCAAAAAACAACCAATATCTTCTTGCTTTTACAAAACTAAGTTTTTAGGCAAAATTTTAATGTGCAAATGTACTTTTAAAGACAACCAAACATGTCTCAAATCTGAGTTTATTCTCCAAACTGGGTTTGGAACATCCACACTGAAAACCAAAAGCAGCCTATATTATTTGATAACTGTATCATAGGCCATTATATAGACCATGAGGGATTGCTAAAATCATTACAGAGGTTCATTATAAAGCTGAGCTTACCATCTAAATGTTGTCGAAGGGTTCCATTATTAACATATTCAATAACAATAATCTTTTCATCTCCATGCTCCAAATACCCACGCCACCTTACAAGGTTTCTGTGCTCAATTTTTGACAATGTGTTTATTTCATTCTTGAACTCAGCTAAGTTTTTGTTTTGTAAATCCTGATAACAAACTTCTCTGTATCAGAATCATTGACAAAAACTAAAAAAAGAAAAAAACAGATATGATCAGTCTTACATATGATGAATATGCTTCTCTGACATCAACTTCAATCACAATTGAAAAAACTCTAGAAGTGTGAAATAATAAAAAGATGAACAAAGTTATCGCCTACCTTCTTGGCACGCTTCACAGCCACAAGGGATCCATCAGAAAGCCTTCCCTTGTAAACTGTTCCAAACGCACCTTCCCCAATCTTATTGTCTGGAGAGAACTTTGCTGTTGCCTTGTAAATTTTCTCAAAGGTGAAGTTCTCAATTCCAAGGTGACTGCTTGAAGTGCCCGATGATGCAGAGGAATGAGATAATACCAATTTTGATGAACTCCTAGAACTATCAGACGATATATCTGTGGAAGCTGCAAATTTCAATAAATTTTAGTTTTGGAAAATCACATCAGAACTTGAGTAACTCAATCTCACAGAATTGGGTTAAGAAATGAGGATAATTCCCAAAGTCAATCTTGTAAAATTAAGCTAAACCTAAATTCTAAAAACCACATGACTATTTCCTAAGATAAATAAAATACCATAAAAGCATTTGCAGTATATAGATAAATAAAGGGTTGACTTGACCATGAACAAAACCACGATGAAATCAATTCACATCACCAAATAGCAGAAACGAAAGCACAAATCTTTATTCATCAAACTTACATGATACCCCTCTAACTTTGTGTGTATTCTTTCCGTCATCACTTTGAGGGGCTTCTGAGGCTGATTTACTTTTCCCAGAAAGAAAAGATGCAAAAACTTTCTTGACAGAATTGAAATATCTCAGCACAGTATGGTTCTCAACACTCTGCCTCTGCGTGCCATTGCCTGCACTTCTATCTTGGACACCAACTTTCCTTTTTCTTTGGTTTGACTGATGCAAACTGTGGCCTGATGTTTTCTTCATTTGCAGAAGCTAATGCTATTCCATATCATCTCTAGTATTTTAACCGAAATTTAAAAGGAAGATGGCCTCAGAGGCTTCCATCTCATGTATTTTATTATTCCAATGATAATTTGTCTCCTGCAACTTAAAGTTATTATTCTCTAAGTAAAAGTCCTACCTTTTACATCCCACAAGTCAAAAGGATCATCAACCAAGAAAAGAGAAAGACATTAAAACCATTCCAAGTCCATGGCTAGCTGGATTTGGACCAGAATGTGCCCGTCATAGTCACCACGCGGTTTTCCTAGGATCCTTCCTAATGCACAAATTGTAATGAACAGTTCTTTAGACTTTCTTTATGAGATGAGAAAAACTTTTGCCACAAAAGGTTCTAAACTATTGCAATTGTCTCATATTATGTCTTTTTGAGGTAACATGATCAAAAGATTTTTTAATTAAAAATACATCTTAATAGTGGACCTGTTCTACAGTGGATGATCTGTTTAAGTATTTAGATGAAATTTTAATAACTAAGACAATTGTTAAAAACAATCAACATTTTCTTTATTTCTAAATTGCAAATATTTTTAAATGAATATTTATGTAGGTGTAAAAAAAATTGAATGACCAGTCAGCTAAAGTTAGAAATTAAATATTTTAAACTGTGAATGGAAAGTGGAAGAAGGTGATGAATTACCAGCAGGTATTTTGAGGTGAAGGTATAATAGTTATTATTGGTGTGTGTTATTGTTATTTGATAATTTTGTTTATTTGAAAAGAATGGCTTTGAATATGATTTTTTTTCAAAAGGCAAATTGTACTTATAACGAAATTGCGACCAAGAAAACGTAGTTGGAGCAGAAAGTTTTCTACCTAGGTGTCAGCGTGGTGCACCAGAACTAGAAAATACGAAATTTCCGTGTTTTTTTCCTTGTCTTGTAATGGAAGACAGACATGTTTGACGATTCCAGGAAACTGTCCCACAGTTTCTAGGTATGAACAAAAGGAGAAAACATTCACGGAAGTGAATAAGACATGTGATCGACGATGTCACCAAACTAAAGAGTAAGTAGTATTGAATATGCTTCTTAATAATCAATTTTTTTATCAATTAATTAACAGCATTATACAAATGGATCCCATATGAGGGGATGAAATTTAAGTTATGGATTTTTCAATGGAACAAGAGTCACTTCACTAGAAATTTGAAAAGAAATTTTAAAAAAATGTGAAACTCTGCTATTGGCATGCATCTCTCACACACAAGTCAGTTTACTTTTGAACAAAATATGACTTCTCCCTTCCAATTTGAAAATCATAATCAGCACAAAAAATTTTCTTTCACTAATATTTATAGGTAGAATCAGTAATAAAAAAATGGATATTTATTATTGTTAAAGTAAAATTACAGTCATATTCTATCTTATTTTATATTTTAATAATAATGTATTTAGATTTATCTATATTTATTTATATGTATTTTTAGAATGTAGTTTTATTAAATTTATATTTTTAAACATAATGTTTATTTGAATTTAAACTTTTAGAAAATAATTTTTATATAATTTTATTTAAAATATATAAAATAAATATCTGTCAATATAAAAAAAAATTGTAGGTATTTTTTGAATGAGTCTCATATAATGGAACAAACAGTTGTTATGATCTTCAATGAAAATGTGTGAATCTGTTTATTTTATTATTATTTTTTTGAAGATGTGAATAAAAACAAAAGTTTATTATAAAGAATGAATATATTAATGTCTGAGTTAAACATGATAAAGACACCATTTATCAATTTTCTTCTCGTATGACATCGTCTATTAGGTTAGGGCCATGTTTTCATATTGCATTTTTCGTTGACTTTAATGTTACGTTTGATATGACTTTGTGCTATTTTGACTCGTTTAAGAATAATTATTTAATTTATTCTTAAAGCAAAATAATTTTGTTAATGGTTGAACATTCAAATTAGAAATATAATATAGAAGTAAAAATAATCTTCAATTTTATAAATCAATTTTACTGAGTTAATTAGATTCAAATCCAAATTCTTGGATAATAAGAAAATTTGGTATATGTCATTGTTTGCTACAAGTAATTCTTAGATGATATTAAGACATTTGCAAGTACCCAATTCTACAAACCTTACAGCATTCAGGTTTTTATTACAATAGGTTAGTATTGTTTTATTATTTTTTAAACTATATAAATCTTTTAAAAATAAAAAATTTATTTTGGTCCTAGTAAGTCCAAATATGGTGTTTGCAGTACGATTTTGATATTTTCAATCGATTTATTATTTTATTTTTAACTAATAAAGTACACAAAGTTTGGCCGAGATCTCTTAAAAACCCAAACCTAAACTTTTAAAATTCATCAAATATTCTTAATAAGAATGAAAATGCATCAAGTAAAATGGAAAGTTAGGTATATTAGAATTTATTAAAAAATTTAAAGAATGCGTTTTAATTCATAATCATTAAATTTAAAGAAATAAAATATTTGTTTTAAAAAGCTTTTGAAGTTTTCTTTTTTTTTATATATATTTTCTTTATTCTATTACTCTTAATTAGGGAACAGGCTGTTAACAACTATTTTTGTTAGCCACAATTTCCAGTATGTTGCTAATATTTGTAATATAAAAATTGAGTTTTTTTTGTGTGTGGAGTACAAGATGTGACAGATGTACTAAGTAATATTCATTGTTCTAATTTATCTTAGAATACAAGAATTTTCCAATATTAATTTTGGTAGGTTAAAAACGTATTTTACATTAAAAATATTTAAATAATATTTTTTTCAATTTAGGGAAAAAAAATACATATTCATTCTTCCAACTACAATAGTCCAAAGCCATATGCAATTTCGATGTTCCAAGATAAAATAAATTATTATTTTTTCAATGCCTCTTTCAAATCATAAACTAATATAGCCAAAGTTCGATTGTGATTATTTTATGAAATTTTGTAGCGACAGTTCAATAATTTGCTATATAAGCTGAAACAATGCTAAATACTTACTGAATAATAACTCATTACAAAAATTTTCACAGTAAAAATCCAATGCTAACACGAATATTTGTGCAACAGTATGCACAAAACAAAAGTGAAAAACAAAAATCAATAGATTTTACGTTCATCTGTTTCCATAGAAAGCATAGCTGAACGGAACATGTTACAGAACAATCAGCAGATTTAAATTACAAAAAGGATGAGATTGTTCAGCCACCGAAACCGTAGAGGGTCCTTCCCTGCCTCTTGAGCGCGTAAACCACGTCCATGGCAGTAACAGTCTTCCTCCTAGCGTGTTCGGTGTAGGTTACAGCATCGCGAATCACGTTCTCCAAGAATATCTTGAGCACCCCTCTGGTTTCCTCATATATCAAACCGCTGATTCTCTTGACGCCACCCCTTCTGGCCAATCTTCGAATGGCAGGCTTGGTGATGCCTTGAATGTTATCGCGAAGCACTTTCCTGTGCCTCTTTGCGCCTCCCTTTCCCAAACCCTTCCCACCCTTTCCACGACCAGACATTTTCTACAACAATATTTTCGAGCTCAGAGAGATTTAGGGATTCCAAGTATGGATTTGATGGGAATGAAGTGAAAGAATAGAGTATTTATTGGAGCGGGAAGACGAAGCTGACGTGTTTTTAAATATAATCTCAGCCATTGGATGCTGACTTAATCCACGGTTCACGAGCTCGATCCGTGGACTAATTAAACATACTTCAGGCACGTTGATAAGAAAGTTTTAACGGTTAGATATTGTTTCGTAAAGTATGTGCGGATTAAGACTTTAGGTTAAATAGGTTTTTCTTTTTTTATTTCTGTCATAAAAATTATTTTCTCTCCTTATATCTTGAAATTTAATAAACTAATTTTTAGAGATAAAAATATATAATTCTAATCCTTTTATCAATTTATTGAAACCAAAAGTAAAATTTCATATTTTTAAAAATTTTGAAAAATAATTAATTTTCAAATGTAAAACTCAATAATTTTAAAAAAATACATCCAAGAAAAAAAAAACAAAAATTTCCCTCGTTTGCTTCTTGACACAACCGAATTTTTCACGGAGGTATTTTCAGTTTTCAAGACCTTTTAAATAAAATAAATAAATTATGAGTTGCATTTATAAATTTACAAAATTCATAAAATTATTAGTTAAACAATATTATTAAGAATATAAAAATAATAATTTCTACCGATACATAATAAGAATAATTTAGTAGTAGTGTTTAAAATAAAACATATTTTGATTTAGTTACTGTAGTTAAAAATTTATTTTTAAACTTATAAGTATTAATTTAATTTCTTGAATCTGTATACTATAAAGATTAAATGAAAAAAAAAAAATATATATATATATATATAAATATTAAAAAGAATTAAAATGTTAAATAGAGAAAGATAAAAAGTAGAATTAGACACTTGCAAAAATTAACTAAGTAATTAAATCATATATATATATACCAGGCAATGAAATTACTTGACAGAGTATGTATCAAATAGTAAATATTCCATTTGAATTTCACTTAGTGTACCCAATTGAATAACACCACCAGAACTCCAATGAGATTTAATATTCAACCAATGAATGTTCAGTGCTTTTGTAGATGCTCTATACCAATCCTATTGTATAGTTGATATATTTTGTGATTTCATGACATTATGCAACCAGAATTTATCATTCTGATTCAATTTTTACCGGTAAACACTTCTGATTCACTTCTCTCTTATGTAGCAGAAGTGACCTTAAATGTTTTAAAACAGACCATTCACTCTTACCCAACAAATCTTACAACTTTCAAATGATGCAATACCCTCCAATGATAATTTATTGCTAATTCTACAACAGAGAAGTATTTACGAAGATACAGGGAAAATAATAACATTAAGTAAGACGCAACAACCCCTCCCCCAATCAGCTAGAAACTGCAAAATGTCGCTTGACAAAGCTCTAACAGATTCCACTGATTCTGATCTAAACACTTTAGATCGAGACAGACCAATCACAA